GGGACCTAACAGTATTAAAATCCTCGTCTAAACACCAAGGCAATGACCACAATCCTTTAACGTAGCAAACCTCTTCCCAAAAAGCTGGTCGGTCACTATCAATAACAGGTCCATAAACTCCTGAAAAAACCCATCTGAAACTGTCTTCCTCCAACTAAAACACACAGGAGATGAAGGGCACTGGTGCGGATTCTTTGTCTTGGGTGCCTTATGCGCAGGGGATGTTTCAAGTCCGATCCTTTTTTCTGTCTTTCTGGGTTTCATGGTTCCACATTCCCGTAGAAGACGATGTGGTCATCAAATGCGCCTCTTAGGATGGCATTTTTTGGGTGGACAACAGCCTGGAGAAAGATCCTGACTTTGGACAATTTGAGGAGGAGAAGGCATATTATTGTCAATCGGTTCTGTCTTTGCATGATTGATGGAGAGTCCGTGGATCACCTTTTGTTGCATTGTCCGGTGGCCCATGACTGTTGGAGTCTCATTTTCGGTTTGTTTGGTGTCCATTGGGTCATGCCCCGGACCACTAGGGAATTGATGGATATTTGGAAGGGCCAATGGGTGGGGGTGCATGCTAGAGATTTTTGGAGGGCGACTCTCCTTTGTGTTTGGTGAAGTCTTTGGAGAGAACAAAATAGAAAATCTTTCGATACCGAACAAGTTTGGAGATTGGGTACTGATAAGGGTGCCGGACCACACGCAAGACCAAAGAGCTCCAGGGCAGGTGTCCTCCATTGGGGCGTTGAAATTCTCTATTATTTGTACCCTTTATTGTTGGGGTTAGGGGAGAAATTATTCTTCTTTTGTGGACATGGTGGATTTTTTGGGCTCTTTGAGTTCATAGGTCTTTTCCACTTTATTTTTTTTTCGGTTTGTGTACAGTTTGGGACGCGTTCCCCTTTTGAACGCCTTCCAATACATTTTATTTATAAAAAAATAATAATAATAATTCGTAACTTCATCAAGAAAAAGAAAAAAAAAAAGGATCAACTCCCTTCCTCCTCCCCATTTTCCACTTCTGGTCCTTCCCTTCTCTTTAATCACCCCATCCTTCCCTTCATAATTAATATAAGAAATGAAATTCTTGACTTCTTGTTCCTCTTTCCGATGTGAAAGATGTTTTCTGGTCTTAACTTCTTTTGTGCCTCGATAATTCTCTGTATTGTCATTTCCTACAACTATTTCGTGAAGAATGGACATAGTTCAATCATTGTTACCGTTTGAAGAAACACCCAAAGCTTTACTTACTGTGCCAATATTCTTAATCACCCATTCCAAACCCAGATCATTAGTCGTCTCTAAGCAATCTGACTGTACATCTACCAAAGGTTCTATTAAGTCCACATCAGGTTAATCCATGTCCATCTAAGAATAAAAATCATTAACACAAAGCTGCTGAAAAGGAACCCAATCCCCAATCACCTCTTTTAATTGCATATCTCTCTCTGTTTCTAAATTATCCGGCTCAGTCAACAAACTGTGAACATCATTCGCCTCATTCTTAGGTGGTAGGCAGTTTAGCCCTTTAAACGCCTCAAAAAGCCTGAGCTCTTTGAGTAGAGCCACGGCTAAATCGTTTGTCAGTTTAAAGTGCAGGTCTTTCCCAACACAAACTGTCACCCCATTAGAGCAACCTACGCTTCCAAGCATGATTTTTGAAACATCCATCACTGACCTATCAAACCATAAAATTGAAGACCCAAGAAAATCCCTCTGTTGAATCAACCCATTCTCCACACCATCCCCACTTCTCACCACTCCACATGAAGAAGAAGGGGTAAAAAATGAGCTTTGAGAATGAAGAACATAAGTCAAACCTAGATGAATGGAGGCATGAGATCGTGCTACCCATTTTTGCTTTTCGTTCCGAGTCCACCGAGAACCATGGCGACCGACTGAGTTTGCACTCATCATCCTCCATTTTGTTTTGTCCGACGAAGACTAGTGTTTATACTTTGATGAGTCGCGCTGTGAGACATGAGGTTGAGTCTGAACATAGGTTTGATCTTCAGTACATAGCCTCAAAGGAATGTTAGGGCCTTGCTTAGTATTTGAAATAGAGATGGTTAAAGAATTGGGCCCTTTCTGTACCCGTCTATTAGGCCCAAATTTGTTAAGCCCTTTCTATACCCGTTGATTAGGCCTAGATTCATAAAAAGCTCTATTGGGTTAATTCAAACCAGGCCCGATCTCGCCCCTGACCTGCCTTAACTCCTTTTAGCCCATCACACCACTGACCTCAGCCCAATTGGAACTACCCTTCCCTATCTTATCACCAATAGATAAAGATAAGGGGGAATCTAGAGATGCACCCCGTCGTCCTCCACGTGTAATCTTTTTTTGCTCAGCATCAACGCGTTTGACTGGCTCGTAAAGATCACTTCATCTTCTTCCCCAAACGTATTTCACTGCCCTTTGTATTTCTCTATCGTTCAGCTACTGTTGGATCTCAAGAACTCCCTTTTCTCCTTTACTGAGGATCTTAAACCATTCCTCTTCCGTCAAAAGGTGTGACCCATCACTGCTTTCGAGGCTCTTCGTTTAGGGAACAAGCTCCGGTGAGATTTCTTCCCAAATCACGACCTTGTAGCAGAATGTATTGTCATTAATAAATATAAACTTTGGACAGTCTGAGCCTGTTCTCACTGTGATTCGAACGCTTTCGGCGTCCCTAGTCTCATCTGCATCAGATCTCACGTATACACCACAAAGTTCTCCCACTTTAACAAACAAAGCATGGCACCATATGTGTAGAGGAAGTCCGAATAACCAGATCTGTTTGAGACCTTTGTCTCTAAGAATGCCACAGCATCCGACTCTAAAAGACCACACGTCGATCCTCAAAGTTGCAGTTCCCCACTGTCGCCAGCCTTTCTTCAGCACCCGTTTAGCCTCTACCTAAGAAGGAAACCGGAAAAGGAGCAGCGAATCGGATAAGGGTGTTACCCCCACCCCACAAGTCGTGTTCCAAGCCCGCGCTGCCAATACCTCCACTCGATCGCACCCCCAACCTCCTTGTCAAAACATCCGACCAGGCAAGATGCAAGCACTGACTTCCTTCCTCTGACGGACTCCCTGTTGATGTATAATGACGGCCCTTGATGAGGAACTGCCGTCTTCACGTCCCTTCCAAGCGAGAGTCTTGGTAATCTTGCAATCTCCAGAAAAGATTTCATTCTTAACCTAACAAAATCGCAGTCGCACAAATCGCCCCTAGTGTGGTGAAATCGCATATAGCAACGTCCTTAACATTCCATATATGAGAGAGCTAACCTGTCCACCAAATTTCGTTCGAGAGGTGCTGTGACGTCGGCGGCGAATGTGGTGGTGACACAAGCAACAATCTGCCTAACAGATATATATATATATATATATATATATATAGAGAGAGAGAGAGAGAGAGAGCAAATACTGATGGCAAACCAGGTCGGGTATTGTCAGGGCAAGTTTCTTTCCCTTTTTTTTTTTCTTCATTATTTAAGACTTTAAGTTAACCTTAGGTCACCAAAGTCATTAGTCATTACAGGTTTTTAATTACTAATTTGATATTTTAATAAGTCATAAAGTGTAATCATATTGGGCTGTTTGAAAAACCCAATCTGTGAAAACCGAACCGATATTTCACAGATCGGTTTGGTTCAGATTGAAGGTCCTTACGGATCGATTCGGTTTCAAATTTCACCAATCTGTGGGGACCGAATTGGATTGAACTTTATCCCCAAATCAAACCGATCCGTGATCAGCCCTATGCAAATATATAACACGCACACAACTTCAAAAGCTTTTTATCATCCAAAACAATTGTTTGATATGAGGGCCTAAAACCGAAATGGGTCTAGCCAAGTGTTTTTAGACTGACTAGTGTTTCCTTTCTTGCAAAAGAACTGTAATAAGGAATTGCGTAACATCCAAATATCTGCTAACTTTTGGAGATAGCAGACAGTCGGGATCATCAAGGTTCCGTCTCATTTGGGGTTCTCTCCTTTTGCTCTCCTCTCTTTCTTGCAACCTTGCAATGTTTGATTTCTTTGGAGAAGAAAGGGTAAAATTTTGCCTAGGCCTTTTAAGATACCAATTCTAGCTGAAATAGCGCTCGAAACTGTTTTCTAAAGGTGTATTGATGAAATAACTAACTAAAATCATTGCAACACAATGGTAAAATTAAAAAAACATTGTATCATTTGGGTGCGTTTTACATGTGAATTCTTGTCCTCATTGACCTGTGCACACTTGGTCGTTGGCTTGCTATAACAATGCCCTTATCCTTAATGTATCTGAAACTGAAAGAGACTCGGGGAATCTACTTAAATTTGTTCCTTGTAGTCTTACTCTTAATTGACTTTGTTATGAAAGTGCACTTGCCATAACATCATTATATGCATACGCTCTCATTATCCAAAATATATCTCGGTGTTTAAAGTTGAGTAAACTAAAAAGACAACCTCTCACACCCAAAGCCTTTTCTTACAAAAACTAAAATTTGCCTAGGTTAACCGTTTTGTTTAATGTTGATTAGGATTGTGGTCATTTGCTAGGGGGTATCAAGTGTCAACATGTAGACGTTCTTGGTCTTTGGTCTTTCCTGCCTTTATATGACCACTTCTTTGACCCAATATAGCATGAAATACCATGTCCTAGCAGCATCTCTTTATAGACAATAGCTTGGTCAATTTTATTCTTTAAAGGTAAAAAGGTTGGTCTCGAAGGTGTCTTGTCATTATCAATAAAAGCAAGGGCAAATCTGTCAACTGAACAATTTTCCCAAAAAGCAAAAACTGCAGAAAACGCCAAACACCACATATAATCCAATCTTCAACTTATGACCATTTCCATCAGAGCAGAACAACACGGAGAACAAAACAAACACTTACTTTTCTCTTATGCCCTTTTTACCCCCCTCTGTATTTTTTAAAACTAGAAAACATATTTAACAACACACTCTCTAATCCACTAATCCTAACACGTACTACCATACACCCTAACCCTAAACACTGAATATAGTTAGAACTTGAGAGTGATCAATCTCACTTTCATTTACCTCCCAGCGTTGCCAACCCTATTCTCTCTCCACCATTCTCGCTGCTGGCGCTATCGCCTTTCCAGCTACTGCTCTCTGACTTGCTCTCATCTCTGCTCCGGGATCCGTTCTCGGCATCCCTGACATCAGATTCCGGCGAGCTGTGGTTGGCTGACGACGCCTTATACATGTCAAACTGGTGGTGGAGGCTGAGCTGGTGCAATTGGTGGTGTGCCTGTGGTGGGGAAGGATAGAATTCTTGGGGAGCTGGTTGTGGACAGTAGTGCTGGGAGGCGTGGGTGGTCTGGTGTGAGCCGTAGAGGGCTGGTGTGCCACCATGAGCTGCCGTGGTGTACTCCGGTGGGACCCATATGCCCCCTAAGACCACCAGCCGAGGCGTTGGGGTTCCTGCAGCCTGTGGACTCGAACTTGGTCTTCTGGTGTGCAGTCTGTATTTCTGTATACACACACAAAAAAACAAATCTTTATATAATCAATCAATGTTTGTTAGACCAAGAATATGCAATGCAGTACTGTGGTACACTGGTACGCACAAAGGGCTACTGCTCTGCGACTCTGTCGTGCATGTCTGCATCTATCACAACAAAAGGGTGCTCTGTATTTATATATATAGGTACAAATATATATATATATATATATATATATATATTTATATATATATATAGAGAGAGAGAGAGAGAGAGGCACCTGCAGATGGCTTTTAACTTCATCGTTGGTCAAACCGTCAACCTTCATTAGCTCCCTGATTTGTTTTGGTGTGGCCACTGCAAATAAAAATCCCAAAGCTTAATTATAATTAATTATGTATTTTGATAATTTTGTAATATTTACTATTCTTTACTGGTTACAGTACGAATCCAAAATTTGAGTTACCTTGAGAACCACCTAGCATATTGAGAGCATTCACAAATCTTCGGTGTAATTCTGGTGACCAACACCTTCTTGCCTTCCTCTGAGTTTGAGTAGTAGTAGTAGTAGCGGTAGTGGTTATTTGGGCTTCTGAATTTCGTTGCTGGATTGCCGCGCCAGACCCTCCAGTTTCAGCTTCAGATAATTTCTTATTATCCATTTCTTTGTCCGGTGAAGCGAGAGCCAAATCCGGTAGAGCTTGTAATGTTGGGGTCGGACATGAGGAGTTTCGTTCTTTTAAGAAGGGAAGGAAAGCACCTCCTCTCCTCTGTTTGTTGTCTAAGTCTAGCTTGGGACTGACACTGAAGCCGATTTGATCGGTTTCTTTAGGAGATGTTATTATGGAGGATTGTTGTTTGGTTGCATGACGATGAGGATCACTTGCTTGGCTCCATAGTTGTGCAGATGTCATCCAATTCGCCTTATCACACATGTTCGATTCCTTATGATCCGAGCCTTCTTCGGAGCTTGAATGCTGCTTAAGGGGCATGAACTCTTCAAGAACTGGTTGTGCACCATGATTAATTGCCTGGTAGCTCTGTAGTTGCTGCCTTGAAGCCTCCACGGCTGATTAACCCAGAAAAATTTGTCAATATATATATATATATGATCGATAATGGTTTTTATTAATTCATAAAGAAGCACAAGTTTATCTCAGGTACGGTTGAATATGATACCCATTTTTTATTAACAGACACCAGAGAGTTTCATATTGAAGGTATTTGTTTGTGAGTGATTTATGTGATTGGCTACTTTGGATATATATATAATAAGAAGTGATGAAATCAACAATAAAGTTGGTGGGAACATGTAAAGCTAGCTATTTCTCCACTGGTTCTACCAATGTAAAAAGATAAAGAGAAGATTAAAAGCTAGACATTAGTACTGCACAGAAAATGAATATCCACTGTTTGGTAGTAAAATAATTGTCTTTTGAATCTTAAGGTAGCTGATTGATTCTGTACGTCTTTGATTTGTAGGTGCTACACACATAGATATTCATATAACATAGGATTGAGACTTAAAAAAATTTTAATCTATCTTAAAATGCAAAAATCAAAGAGTATTAATTAAATTTAAAGGTATGCATATATGTATATATAGAGAGAGAGAGAAGAAGAAGAAGAAAAAGAAGAAGAAGAAGAAGAAGAAGAAGAAGAAAGAAAAAAGTACCATTGGTGAGAAGTTGCATGCAGAGTGGAAGCTCACGCTTGAAAGCATCGATCTTGAGACGTTCTTCCTCGAGACGAGCAAGGAAGTCTTGGAGCTTCTGGGTCTGGTCACCCTGGTCTCCAAAAGATTTTAGCAGCATAGAACAGCCATGGGGCTTGCAATCGAGGCTTAGTTCCGAAGGGGATGCCATCATTTTGGTGTATATATCTTGTATATATATAATAGTAACAAATTTAATTAATTAATTTATTCAACAATCTTATGATGACAAATTTTGATATAGGAGGAGGAATAGCTATAGGGTGGTATATATGAGAAAATTAACAAAGAGGAGCAAGAAAAGAGAGAAAGGGAAGTGGTGGTGTTTGTGAACACAAGGAGGATCAAGGAAGGGGAGGATAGTCTTCCTTTTAGGGGCGAGTTCGAGGGAGAATATATATATATAATAAAGTAGGGGGTTTTAGAGAGAGAAAGAAAGAGGGGTTTTAGAGAGAGAAAAACAAGAAAAGAAAAGAAAAGAAAAGAAAAAGCTAATTATAAGGAGATAAAGAACACACAGAGATGCATGGTAACTTCTTGCAAGCTGGAACAAAGGCAAAAGCTTGGTATTTAAGGGTGGGGGGATGCCCTCCGACTTGAGAGAGAGAGAGAGAGAAGGAATCAAGAGGGCAGAGGGAGGGTGTCTGACACCTGAGGGATCATGTGCTTAGAGTTAAGAGACATCTGGTTTTTGAGACCTTTAGTGCTTGTCCTAATTGTACGATTCTAAATCACCAATATAAAAAGATGATTCTTCATCTTCTTCTTCTTCTTCTTCTTTTTTTTCTTTTTTTTTTTTTGCTTCATTTCTTTCTTTTAACTTAAGTTATCTATATATGTGTGACTGTGTGTGTGTATATATATAAATGTGTGTTGCTATATATATAATATATTAATCATGTCAAATTTAACCAAGAAAAACCTCCATAACAGCAGTACTAACAAATGGCCTTTAAGGATCTATTCTTACCAATGTATTATATCATATGCATGAAAGGTAAAATAATGATTCTATTATAATTAATTAACATGCACTAGAAAGTAGAAACTTTGGAAATAGCATATACCCCACACACACACACACACACACACACACATTCAACTGGGGTTTAGTATCAAAATCCACTGTGCAACTTTCTTTTTGGTTATGGAAAGAAGTTGCATAATTATTCTACATTTGAGTGCATTGAGAGAGAGAATATCTAGTCTAAAATGAAACAGTCAAATAAAAGAATTAATATAATAATATCTCCCAAGAAGGAATATCTGAGTTCCAATTCTACGACTCTAATAAATACCATAAAAAAAATTTAAGGGAAAAGACACCCACCTACGAGCTCAAAGCCCCAAAAAACATAAATAAATAAATAAATAAATAAAAAGGATCCTAAGAGATAGGAATCTTCTTCTCCGCTGCTAACTTTAGTGAAGTGGGCAGGAAGGTAAGAAGATTCTCTCTCCAAATTAAAAGAATTCTTGTTTTACTAAGACAAAAGTTGAGGTACCCTCCAGGATATATCCACCCGTTAAACCACATCTTTTGGATAAAGAATTTGGGTTTGGTATATGTATGTGACATGTACATGGGTCATTTGTTTTTTAAGCATTGCAAAGTAGGAGTGCACAAACAAATAGTAGAACCGGAATCGGAATCAGAACCGGAACCAGGGCCGGCCCTGGCCCAAGGCGGTTGCCTAGGGCCTCAGAATATAAAGAGCCTCCAAATTTATAGACCCATGTATGATGGGCCACCAAAAAAAAAATTACAACCAAATGCAGCAAATCAAAATTTATAGGCCATGAATGTTGGGCCACCAAAAAAAAAATTTATAACCGCAGCAAAGGGCCTCAGGAATGATGGGCTACCCAAAAAAAAAAAAAAAAAAAAAAAAAAAAAGTCTAACCAAATGCAGCAAAAAGGGCCTGAAAAAAAAAAAAAAAAAAAAAATTTAGTGCAAGCATATCACTTATGTATAGAGAGTCTCACATTTAAAGTCCGCCTAGGGTCTCTTGAAATTTTTTCAATCTCAGGGCGGCCCTGCCGGAACCGTGAGAACATGAACCGAAATTTCGGTTCTCACGGTTCCGGTTCCGGTTCCTAAAATGAGGAACCGTTGAGTTTCGGTTCGGTTCCGATCTCACAGTTCGGTTCTGGAACCGGAATCGTAATATATATATATATATATATATATATATATATATATTTGATTATATTATATATATATATATATATATATATATTATATTTTATTTTTAGGGCAAATCATTTCAGCGGCTCTATCCAATCGCCTCCATCTCTATTTTTTTTTTTTGTCTTTTTGCCCTAGATCTGAGCCTCACCTCCCCAATCGCCTCCAATCTCCATCTCTATTCTCTTGACTCTAAACTTTAGAACTTGCCCCCTCTCTCTCTCTGTAACTGTAAACTACAAAATCTACAAGAATCAGAAGTTCAAAACCCATATATTTAAGATCTATCTGCAAGAATCAAAAGTTCAAAACCCATATCGGCATATCATTTCAGATTGTTCAAAAAATCAAAACCCATATCTTTCAGTTTCCATTGCCTGCTGTTTAGTTCAGGTTCGCAAGCTTCAGCCGTCTCTCAACTCTCAAGCTTGCCTCTCTCTCTCTGCAACTGCTAAACTTGCCCTCTCTCTCTCTCTGCAAGTGTAAACTACAAAATCTACAAGAATCAGAAGTTCAAAACCTATATATTTCAGATCTGCTACAAGAATCAAAAGTTCAAAACCCATATCGGCATATCATTTCAGATTGTTCAAAAAATCAAAACCCATATCTTTCAGTTTCCATCGCCGCTGTCCCAGTTCGTGTTCGCAAGCTTCAGCAGCTGTCTCTCAACTCATGGCTAACGGTTCTCATGGAACCGAATACGGTTCCAGTTCCGTTTTTTAGGAACCGTTGTGAACTATTCCAGTTTCGGTTCCTACCGGAACCGTAAGGAACCGAACCGTGTGCACCCCTATTGCAAAGGTAAAAAGGCCAAGCCATAACAACATTACATAAGCAAAAAAAAGTCAAGTTAGAAAAGACATACAAATCTTGAAGCAAAGCAAGAAAAATGAAGAATAGACTCCAGATTTGTGAAGAAACGAGAGCCAAAGGTCTGCAATGGAAACCACCAAGGGAGAAATGCAGCAACAGGAATGACCCAAAGATCTGGCCATCATCAAGATAACAACTCCAAACCTACAGCCACAAGGCGCTTCAATAGGGGGAAGATCACCCAAAACCCTGCTCAAGATCAAATCAAGGAGAAACAGATCAAATCTACGCGGGACAAAACCAAAACCAACCTAGATCGGAGATCTAGTTGGAGAAAAATAACAAATCCACCCATGTGAGCCGAAAACGAACCAAACATGAACAAATCTAACACAACAACAACAAAAAAAAAAAAAAATGCCCACGAATCGCACTTATTGAAACACGCCAAATTTATACAGAACCAAAAGGAACATAGTAGAAGTTTAAAAATTAAAATGTTTATTAATAAGAAGTAAGAAGTCTATATGTGTGTAGGGGTGACAAATTACGACACGATACGACGACACGACATGAACACAACACGAGTTAAAATGATTTGTATTTGGCATAAACGGGTTTGGGTCATAAAAGGGTCGACACGATTAACTTGTTTACTTAATCGTGTTGGGTTAGGGTTGAGGGGTTCAACCCGTATAACCCGTTTATGACCTATTTAATTCAACATGTTATAATCATGAACATGACTTATGTAATATGTTATATGTTTAAACCCAATTACTATAGATAGTTAAGTCATTTCAACATAAACCTTGCCTATGCCTTATAATTTTATTTTATTTTATTTTCAATATTTGGGTTAATTATGACAAATTTTTTCTATTATTTAGTATTTGATTAAATATTAAATATCTCGATAAACGGATTAACACGTTTACCTATTTAATAAACGAATTGGGTTAGTGTTGAAAATTCTTCACACGATTATTAAATGGGTTGAATTTGGGTTTACCTATTCAATATAATACACGAATACGACTCACAAACACGAATTGTCACCCCTAAACGTGTGGGGGAAAGCATACCATTTCAATCCGGGTCGACCCAATCGGAGGAACAATTGATAGGAAGAGAGGGACCTTTTTGGCTTTGGCTTTTACATGAAAAGAAAAGGTGAGAGGAGTGCATCGAATTCCCTGAGCAATGATGATGGTTGGTCGCTTTCCATAATCAGTCTTCTCGTACAAGACTCCAACACACTCCTTTCGTGGAGATTCTTTCTCTCTCTCTATAGTTCTATATATATATATATATATATGCATGGCAGAGATTCTCATGGGGTGGACAGGCGGTCGTGATATTCTCCATATCGTCCTTGTGAATATCCTTCCTTGTCTGGAGTTGAAAAAAAGAAAACGAATATTCCCTTTCAACTAGAATACTCCATCAATATTTCTTCTAAAATCGAAACCGATCTTTGTGTGTATGGAATGTTGTAAAATAAACCAGAAAATAGTAGGACCAGCTAGTGCTAATGTGCGCTGCAGTGAACATATGATCAACAACAATCAAATAAATGTATTAGTTTTATTTAAATTTTTACTTAGTCATCAAGTTGTACAAAGTATCCATGCCACCTCACAATTGATCAATTTCAGTATAGTCATTCTCTTCCAATTTACTTTTTATTTATTTATTTGAGATTTGATGCCCATATAAATAGTTAACTGTGTTCATATAAGGACACACTAAAGTTTCGTGAGACAATTTGTATACATAAAAGCTTGTATATACTAATTAACTACTAAGAATGGTTTCGGAATCCCTAATAATCAAGTCCCACTTGCATAACTATCCCAACTTCATTTGTTGAATGAGACCGCTAGTTTTATGGTAAAATTCACTAATGACTCTGCCTCATTAAAGAAACAAGTTTGCACTTGGTGTGGTTTGAGTACGTATGTGTGTGTCTATATATCTATCTATATATATACATATATAACTTCATTCCATGTTTTGATTTACCAGTGTTTCCACTAAGTGGGGGATGGGGCAAAAGTGCCGGCTGCAAGGGGCCTAAATGATACTTTAACAAGCCCATCACGTAAGGCCGACTATACATTCTCATGTGATATTTGAAAAGCCACATTTATGTCACATTAAAAAAGAAAAGTATATGGTTACAAATATACAAATCCATATTTATATGAATATATAAAGTTAAGAGTCCTGATTCTCTTACTCTCCATGAAACAAGAAAATTAATCTATACTTTCTATATAGATCGTTAGATTAAATTTTAACTGCTGAATTTGAATTCATGGACAAAAGTGACAAATGATTTCTCTCTATATATAAGGTTGTGAGAAGAACTTCACCCATTTTTACAGTCCCACCACAGTCAGTACAACATCATCATCTAATAATTAAACTCACAAATTCACAAATTCAATAATGAATTTCACCAAATGCCCAACTTCAAATTGAAATAGAAAGAATTTTTGTTCAAACTTTAAATGAAATTTTCTTCAATCTCAATTCCAATTAATCAATTCGATATTCCAAAATGTAATATTACAGTATATTTGTTGGTAAATTTACTTATACTAGATAAGTGTATTATAGTTGTAAAATTGATGTTTCTTAGGAAAATGTTGTTACAAAATTGATGTTTCTTAGAAAAATGCTATAATATCATTCTGTTGTTACAAAATTGAAAGATACGGACATTATTTTCCTTTCAAAGAAACATCTAAATAAAAACAAATTTTTAGTAAAATATATTAGTATCATTTTTTTAAAAAAGGTTTCTATTTTTATTTTGATAATTGCCTTTTATTGTTATAGTAGGTGGTAATGGTAAAATTAAATATAGAAACTAAGAATAGGGTGAGAGTGGTTTTGTATTAAAAGGAAAGATCATAGATGGGTTTGAAAAATGACAGTTAGATTTAATCTAACAGTCTATATTAAAAGTGTGGATTAATTTTCTTACTACATAGGAAATAAGAGATGAAGACTCTATATAGTTAATGTTTTTTCTCCTCTCCTTTAGCAATTAGTATTTGATATTAATATATTAAACATTAAACCGCCACTCTTACCATTATTATTATTTTGCCTGAAGTTTTAAATTATATTGGGCGATAAATAAAAAAGTAGAGAAAAGCCTACTTACTTAAGCATAATTGTGCTCTGCCAAAGGTTTAGATACTTAGAATAACTAATAAAAATCCAAACAAGGATAAGAAATGCAAGATTCTATTCTTTTTCTTTTTCTGTTTTTCCATCCAAGTGCTAACTTTTTTTCTGTTACAATTATCATCAATTAATGAGTTGATGAAGTTTTTCTAAATTCTATTGAAACCCAATTCAAAGCAGGCTAAGAATATCAAAAGAAAGGCCTTTATGTTGCATAATGTGAAATATTCTTTTGAGCTTTTCCTGAAAGCTAAAAATAAATAGGTACATTTAGGGGTAGTAATGTTTCTTTCGTAAGATTCATTAACTGGGCATTCAGTGTATCATGACAATGAGAAGACTGATTTGTCCCACTAATTCCCATATTCACTTATGATATAGATAATTTCCACTTGATTATACATTGATGATTGATAGCTTTGGATTTGAATTATTTGGATGCTTATCCTAGAAAAAGAATGTTTTTAATGTAAACTATGGGCTATAAAATGTCTAAATAACATTGACTTCATCTCTAGTTTCAAAAATAATACTTACCACTCCTATATTTTTGGTTCAAGTAACATTTACCTCCCTTGTTATAAATCTGTCCGTATTGTCTTAAATTTCAATTTTGTTCTTAGAATGCTTGAAACAACACTATATTTACATTAAATTATAATAAAAGTATGATGGGTATAACTGTCATTTTACACCTTTGACAAACTAACAACACTAATTAAGAAAGGATAACAACATTATGTTTGAAACAGCAGAGGAAGTCTATGTTATTTAGTCATTCTACATGAAATGTGGATATAATTTTACCCATTATAGTAAATTACTCTCCTCTTTGAACCAAGGAAATATTTTCACAAAATAAAAGAAAATGAAAAAAAGTAGGTGGTTCTTGCATGCTACATGTCACTTTATGCATTAGCCCATAAAATTTTGGAAAATGAATATATGCTCCATTATCGTACATGTAAAAAACGTTTTCTTATCCAAATAATTATATGATTGATATCTACTTAAGTCTGATTGATCAATTATTGAACTCACTAATTAATCACTCAGTTCAATTTATTTATTCATTTTTCATAATTATTTATGGAGTTTTAATTTCAAGTTATCAATTTTATGTTACAATTGCAAATTTTATGATATAGGGTAGACAATTGAAAATTTAAGAAAATTTACAAGCCGTGTGATCGGTTGACTACTCAGCAAACCAACGGTAAATGTAGCACCACGAGGGACACCCACGATATATATTATGGTACCAGTACCCATGCAAAAATTTCCCTCCATTGAAAATCTGCATTATTAATTTGACCATAGAGATGCATAAATAGAGAGTGAGCATATAGCATCTCAAGCACGAGAGAAGAGTGGGAATGGAATTAGAATCACTTTGGTCGGCATCTAAGCTAACGATACATATATAGCTTCTTCAAAAGATGCATTTAGTGTTGTTGAAGACTACTGGAATTTAGATAAATAAAAGTTGTCATATATACGATTATGCAGTATTGACTTAGCTAGACTTTTTATATGTGTATATTTATATGAAGTGTCAACTAAAAGTTAGTATCAATTTAAAAACAAAATAATCTCACCCCTAAAACGTGTCTCTGCAACATTGGTCCGCGGAATTTAAAAAGAGTATCAGACTATCAGATCTTATGCTTTGGATAAATGGTTTGGGTTTATAACTTTGTAGTTGGGCCATGAGTTTTAGGTCTGATGAATTATTCTATTGGGAACTCTGGGCTAGAATTTATGAAGCCTGGTTTGCAACGCTGGCCCTTTATTTTAATGTAAGCGATTGGTGCACAAGGTGTTTGATAAATTGCATGAATGAGAAAGTGACAAGCTTTCTTGATTCATATGCCCTAGTAGTAGCAGTCAGTGCAACATGCTGGGTTTATCTATTTATTATTTTCTTAAACTGACAAAACATTGCAAAATGCTGGTTTAACAGGTTGAGAAGTAAATAGAGTGTTACTGTCACAGAGCATTTCTGTGAATGAATTTGTGCAACTAGTCACCATGCTAAAGTGGTGGATAAGCGAAGGCACAGGTTTTTAGCACAAAGAACAGGTTCTTTCCAAATAATTTTCCTTTTGATAATGCCTTCCTCACAAATGGTGGTTAAAGAATTACTGAAAAAATAAAGGGTACTTGAAGACTGAATTTATATTATAGGAAAAGGTCAAGAGAAGGAACGGATTGGGGAAGGTTCAAGTAGCAGTGATAAAGAGAGTCGCAGAATAGTGTCCTTGGGTAGAATGGGATATGTAGGAAGTGGTGTTTTGCCTTGCTTTCTCAGGCTCTCTTGATTTCTAGAATGACAATTTTTAGAAGGGTTTATTATGCACTGATGGTCATGAGAATGATACAAAAAAAAAAAAAAAATGTGACGACAAAAGATGGCATGGTTTGTGGTGAAGCAGTTGATCGGGTCTTGAACCCCTGCAAAGTCTTCCTTTTTGCAACCCTTTTGCACTAATTTTTTTAATTTTATTTATTTATTTATTTTTATTTTTATTTTTTTGGAGGGAGGGGTTGAAACGAGGCCTGTCATTGGTGGGAAAAAAATTGGTTAAATTATCGGTTACATTGACTTGATAGGCCTGAATATGAATACAAAAACAGTCTCTGTATAAATAATGTCAAGTGTTAGGTTTGTCTCTAATCTTCCACTTTCAACATTACGTGTCCATTGGATGAATATTGAATAATAGCCTTTTGTTTTTTTTTCTTAGTTGGTACTCATACACACATGTCTCTACTGAGGGTTGAATACCTGACCTCCCTTTAAGAAATAGGGGCTTGGTACCGCTAGGCCACTGATAAAAATGGCCTTTTAAATTGTGCATGAATTACCTCAATATATGTAAAATATGTAAATCAAATATGCCATTACTGTTGGATTGTTCTTTCTGTTTTCCTTTTTATTGTTTAATTTTTTCCTGTAAAATAATTTCATTCTTAACTTGAAATTGGCTGATTATTTAGTGCTGAACTTTCAGCAATTTAAACTGCCAAGTGTAATGGAGGCCTTGGGCAACAGTACTTGGGACTATCAAGGGAGGTAAGTGCAGTTTATCAAAGAGGAATATGACTCATCCATGTGACCCTCAAGTCTCAATTAACACTTTTATAATACAGAGTGATATTATATTCATTGTGAAATATGCATGTAATTTCCCTTCTTTTTTATGGTCAACTCTCTGTTTTCAAGAGTTTCAGGTTGTTTCCTTTCTTCTCTTGTTGGCAATCAAGACTCGACTATTTCAGAACCAATTCTGCAGTGAAGGAAATAAGCAGAAGATATTGACAAAACCCTTCTTCAGGTTAGTCTTTCAGCATTAAGATCTTCTTAGAATCTCCATCATTGTCATTTACTTTTATTGATTTTGTCACTCTCGTGCTTTCTATTGAAGTTGAGATAGAAGAATAAAATAAAGAGAGACAATACATCTGATTTTTTTTTTTTTCTTTCCTTTGGCTCATCTCTATTTTCAATAGAATCTTCAGACTGTTTCTTAGTGTACAATATTTCATTATTGCATTCACATATCTGGGTTAGATTCAGATCTTTCGGGTCTGCTAGCTTTTCTGGCTTTGCCTTTTATATTGAGGGTTTAGCATTTCAAATCCACTGTTATGAAGATCAAACTTTTGGTTCTTGGTCTCTGGACCCTTCTAGAGTTGTTTGGGTTGTCCTACACAGCTTCTTTCGATGACTTTGCATTCTCGGATGATTCCTCAGTAGTCTATACATACAATCGGTTTGCTGAGATTGAAAAGCAATGCAGCCCTTTTCTCTCTTCAGCTTCTGAGTTGAAACCCGATGATAGTAGAAGTTATAGACTTAAGAATGAACTATCTTTCTTCAATGGCGATTGGGAGCAGGAGGCTGGTGGGGCGCCTTTGATGCCATTTGATGACAGTGACATGCCTGCGGACAGTTCTTCTTTCGTCTCTCCCTTAAAATTGGTTAGTTTTGAGGTGAAGGATGTCAACTCGGTCCATCAATCCAAAAAAGTCGTTAGTCTCAGTGGTGTTTTGTCTATTGGCATATCTAGAAATAGCACTTATGCTCCTGAATTGTTCTCAAGCTTTTACTATATGAGACCTGGTCTCTCTGCCCTCAAAATTGTCTTTGAAGGTGTGTACATTGAAACTGAGGAAAATGGAGGGGAACACTTGCTCTGTTTGTTGGGAATTTCAACTCTGCCATATTATGATTTGGTTGATGTTTTTCAAGATATGACGGACAATTTTGGTTCGCATTACAAGCGCTGGCCTCAATTGAAGCAAGATGATCAGATATTTCTTATTCTCCATTACCCTCGGACCTTCAGTTTGACAACACGTGCAATCCGAGGTGAAATGAGAAGTTTGAATAAACGAGAAAGCTTTCAGTACTTTGATAAAGTTCACATATCTTCTCAGTTGGGTCGTTACTCAAAATATCAGTTCATTACTGAAAAGCTCAAGTCAAGAACTTGTGATCCACGTCCAATACAATATGAACTGCTGGAAGATGGTGTCAACATGCTAAATGCCTCTGAGTTCTGTAAAGTCCTCAAATATTTCTCAAATGAAGCTTACAGCATTGCTCCAAATTGGAAATTTAGTGGCAGATATGAGAGACATATTAGGTTGGGCCCTTTTTTGCTTGGCAAGGAGATTAAATCTGTTGACTGGACGAATGTAAAGCTTATGATGCAGAATATAATATGTGAGGAGGAAACCACTGACTATAAGACCGGAAATGCCAGGGTTTCTGCAGTATTTAGAGCATTTGCACTCATGGAACGACATGTCGTAGCAATGAGGAGGGGTCTTTCTGGCCTGACACTTTCCGTGGAGGGAATATGGAATTCCTCCATGGGGCAGCTTTGCATGGTTGGTTGTATTGGAGCTGTTGATTCAGGTTTGGAAGGATGTGATTCTCAGATCTCACTGTACTTTCCTCGCTCACTTTCTAGCAGGCAGAGAAGCATCATTTACGGAAGCATTTCCAGCATTGAAAACGAAACTAACTCGTACTTTCCCATACTGTTCGGGTTGGAAATGAGTCCCTCAAATATCCGCAATAACCATGAGTGGTATTCTAGCTCTTATCTGTCATACAGTTACGCGAAGACTGAATTGGCCGGTGCATTTAGGGAGAGAAGTCAGCCATCTAAGTTTATTGCAATCATCAGGCAATATCTCCTAACTTATCCAGCTCTGGAAGACAAAGAAGACTCACTTGCCAGTTTAAATCTTCTCTCTAATGATCTCCATCTTGCTGCCTATGTAGCCCCCAGGTACATAAATTTCTTTGTTCTAGCTGAGGTGCTTTCTTTAGGTCCTTTAGTTGGTCGTTATACTCCCCGATCATATAAAGATGGTTCTCCAGTTAATGCTCAAGTTGAACTCACTAGTTCTGATCGCTTGAATGTGTCCCTTCATCTCAAGTTTGGAGAAGATAATAAACCTTACAAAAGTGAAGCAAGGATGTTCTTGGAAGGTCTCTATGATCCACTAGTTGGTGAGATGTATTTGATTGCCTGTGCGAAGGCTATGGCTGAGAGTATAAATATTGAGAGTGGGCTAGACTGTTCGACCGAAGTGAAAATTGAGTACCCATCTGAAAGTTTGAGATGGCTCATAAATCCAACTGCGAAGATCACCATTACCAACCAAAGGAGTGAATATGACCCCCTTTATTTTCTCCCAATAAGGGCGAGGACCTCTGTTATTCGATATGGAAATCATGAAAGTGATGTTCTCTTCCGGAAAGTTTTTGAGGGAATTCTTCGGATAGTGATGCTTTTGGTGTCAGTTGGAATCATAATAAGCCAGCTCTTGTACATGAAGCGAAAGACAGTTGCAATTCCATACATATCGCTTGTGATGCTGGGCATCCAATTTCTTGGCTATAGCCTTCCCCTTATCAGCAGTGCTGAAATTCTGTTCAAATCAAAGGAATCCGAATCTTACAGAAACCATCCGTATGACTATCAAAGATACCAAATGCTCTTCAAGGCCCTTGACTACACTGCAAAACTTCTTGTGTTGGCTGCCTTGCTACTCACTGCTAGGGCTTTCCAGTTGGTGTCAGCATCTCGAAATCAACTGCATTCACATGGAACTTCAGAACCAGTAGCTGTCCCTAGTGATAAGCGGGTTCTCCTAATTACCATAGCTGTTCACATTTTTTGGTTCTTCCTTCCCTATGGGCTGTTGCTTCTATTCGGAAAGGATACAAACACCGTAAGTGTTGATATGCTGCAAAATTGGTTGATGGGATTTGGGGCATATTTCGGTCTGGTTCAAGATTTCTTTATGCTTCCTCAAATCATTGGAAACTTCTTGTGGAAGCCCCGTGTTCAGGCCCTTCAAAAATACTACTTTTCTGGTTTCGTATTGGTAAGTCTTCTTCTTAGTTTCTATGATAACTTGAGAGATCCTGTTGTAGACCCCTACTCTGAGAGTGTTCCATTTTAAGCCTGCACTTGGCTTTTGCTTCCCAGTTTAGTATTCTCTTTTTTTCCTTTTCGTTTTTTCCGTGTTTATGAGAGAATAATGTCTGGTGGATGCGATGATCTCCAGGGAAGCTCGTTTTTGTTGTATGCGAGTCTATTTGCCACCCAAATAATGAGCAGTTGTTTCATATTTGCTATCCATGGCTGGTTGTTGACTTTTCTCTCATTTTGCTATACTGCACAAAAGTCCGGAGAAATGCCTATAGTTATTTTGATTGTGTACTAGTTATTTACTGGACTGGTGAGGATTAAAAATGAGCTCTCCTTCTTGAATGTAGATTGGGATCTAGAGTCTGTTATATAATGTTGATGCCATTTACAGAACTTTGGTTTTAGTTAAGAAATTGTATCATAGTCTAGCTCTTTCAGTGGATAATCCAAATTTTAAGAATTTAGTAGTAGGAAATCCATGTCAGGACCTTCGACTTCTGTATGCACAGCACTTGGTGTCAGTCTCATAATTGCAACATATTCTGGCTTTTCATTCCCAGTTACTAGGAGAACTATATATAATATAAGCAAGAGAAAAAACAGCTGATCTACCATGTTTGTTTCTCCTAAATTCAAATTTGGGGATAGATCTTCAAGATATTAGATAAGCTGGTAACGCCAACCGATTTATTTTCCTGATGCAATTCTTCGATGTCCCATGATCCAAAGTTTTCTCTGGTATGTAATGTAGTCAGCACCTCATCTCACCAATGAGTCAGATACACTAGTTAAGAAACAAGGCAATTTTGAAACTAAACTAATCATTTATATTTGTTTGGGAAATCTACACTTAGGTGAAGTTAGGGGCCTCAAATAACCATAACATATTTCTAATGACATAAATAACCGTAACATATTTCTAATGACATAATATATTTTATAATGACAAACATATATACAAGGGTGATTCTGTGCAGAAAAAAATTAATGAAAATATATAAATAAATTACTAAGTTGACTTCATAAGATCATCCGCCATTGTTGGCAGGTGACCTACATTTTTTTAAAAATGATTCTCCTAATCTTTCCTGAATATATGCATGTTCTGATGTTCTCCGTAGTTAATTATTCAAATAACATCTCAATGTTAAAAATGCCTTGGTGTCTTGCAACTTTAGTTATGTTACTTGTTATCTCTTTCGTTACTTCTTTGTCCAATTATTCGTTTTTTAGACGTTTATTTCCTTTGGTGATTATTTATTCTCAAGTTCAATACCAATGTTCATTTTCAAAGAGAAAAGAATACACACTAGGCTGAGAAATCAGGAAAAGAAATTAATTCCTGGTTAGCCTTAATGATTGTAACTTATTACAGATTTTTGATAATTTAATTAAATATAATGTACTTAAAATTTTCTTCTTCTAATCTCCCTCCTGATCATCTGTTGAGAAAGAACTCAAAACAGTTCATAATATTAAATATTGTATGTGAAAGGGAAAAAATGTAAATATATATATATATAAAAAAAAATAAGAACCATGCGTTTGCCGGGAGTCGAACCCGGGTCTATTGCTTGGAAGGCAATTATCCTAACCGTTGGACTACAAACGCTTGGTTGTGGTAATGCTTGAATTCCTAAGGTACTTGAAATGAAATACCCGAATCAAACAAAGATTGATACAGAAACTGGTCACTTATTCGAATCCAATTCTAGCCTACAAAAGTGGACCATTTTGCCAAACATATTACAACCCCCGTTTTCAGTCTATTATCAGTTTATCACATCTTTTCTTGTCACTTGGAATTATTAATCTTTAAAGAAATTATAAAATTCAATCTATCCCATAAATTTTCAACCACGTAAATACCCTGGTCTGATCAATTTGTATGGCAAGTATGACACCATATCTCAACTCCCTTCTTCAACCTCTTCACGCATGGCTTCTCTTCCTGTTAAAACCATTCCAAACCCACAACTTCCTCATACTAGATCCACCAAACCCACCAAATCTCTCAAATTCACACCAAATCATCTCGGGAAACAATCTGAAAATGACAAAAACAATCAAATATTATACAAATCTTACTTCAAACACATATCTTTTCTCTGCAAAGATGGTCAAATAGAAGAAGCTGTTGATCTCATCACCGAAATGGAGTCCCAAAATCTCCCAAGTGGTCCTGAAATCTACGGTGAAATCCTTCAGGGTTGTGTCCACGAGCGAGACCTCTTCACAGGACAGCAAATTCATGCTAAAATTATAAAATATGGTGATTTCTTTACCAAGAATGAGTATATTGAGACAAAGTTGGTGATTTTCTATGCAAAATGCGATGTTTCAGATGTTGCAATTGCAACCCGTTTGTTTTGCAGACTCCGAAAACAGAATGTGTTCTCTTGGGCTGCCATTATTGGATTGTATTGTAGAATGGGTTTTACTGAAGAAGCTTTGTTGGGTTTTTGTGAAATGCAAGAAAAGGGTTTTTTACCGGATAATTTTGTTGTCCCAAATGCTTTAAAAGCTTGTGGTGCTCTACAGCTGATTGGGTTTGGAAAAGGAGTTCATGCTTATGTCTTAAAGATGGGTTTTGAAAGTTGTGTTTTTGTTGGAAGTAGTCTAATAGATATGTATGGGAAATGTGGGGTTCTGGAAAACGGAAGAAGGGTGTTTGATGTTATGCTTGAGAGAAATGTAGTCGCGTGGAATTCCATGATTGCGAGTTATGTTCAAAATGGGATGTACAAGGAAGCAGTTGAGGTCTTTTGTGATATGAGAGTGGAAGGTGTTCAACCGACTCGTGCAACTGTGGCAAGCTTCCTTTCAGCTTCAGCCAATTTGTATGCTCTTATAGAAGGTAAGCAAGGGCATGCAATTGCGATTTTAAGTGGGTTAGATTTAGATAACATTTTGGGAAGTTCCATTATAAATTTCTATTCAAAGGTTGCACTGATAGAGGAAGCAGAGTTGGTTTTTAGCATGATATTTGAGAAAGATGTGGTGACATGGAATCTGCTAATATCTTGTTATGTGCAGTATGGTCTGGTTGAGGAGGCACTCAATTTGTGCCGACTAATGAGATTAGAGAACTTTAGGTTTGATTCTGTTACTCTAGCATCGATATTGTCTTCGTCAGCTGAAACAAGCAATATAAAACTTGGCAAAGAGGGGCATTGTTATTGTATTAGAAGAAACCTTGAATCTGATGTTGTAGTTGCAAGCAGCATTGTCGATATGTATGCCAAATGTAAGAGAATTGATGATGCAAGACGAGTTTTCAACTCCACAACACAGAGAGATCTTGTGTTGTGGAATACATTATTGGCCGCTTATGCAGAACTAGGTCTGAGTGGTGAAGCCCTTAAATTGTTTTATGGAATGCAATTAGAGGGTGTGCCTCCTAATGTAATATCATGGAATTCAGTAATTTTAGGATTTCTAAGAAAGGGCCAGGTCAACGAGGCCAAAGATATGTTCTCACAGATGTTGTCCCTTGGTTTTCAGCCTAACATAATTACTTGGACCACCATAATTTCTGGTTTAGCTCAAAATGGTTTTGGAAATGATGCTATTCTGCTCTTTCAGCAAATGCTAGAAACCGGGATCCGACCCAATGTTGTAAGCATTATTAGTGCACTCTCAGCTTGCACAGATACAGCCTTATTGCAGTTTGCAAGAGCCATCCATGGCTACGTTATGAGGCGATACCTTTATTTGTCTATTCCAGTTGCGACTTCTCTGGTGGATATGTATGCTAATTGCGGAGGTGTAGATCAATCAAAGAGAGTGTTTGATCTGGTTTTAAGCAAGGAACTACCTTTGTATAACGCTCTGATCTCTGCATATGCATTACATGGCCAAGCTGTAGAAGCCTTTCTATTATTAGAACATCTTCAGGAGGAAGGTATAAAACCTGATAGCATAACCTTCACCAGCATCTTATCAGCATGTAGCCATGCAGGGCTGGTACATAAAGGTCTGGAGCTTTTTGTTGATATGGTCTCGGAACACCGCGTGAAGCCAACTATGGAGCATTATGGCTGCATGGTCAGTCTTCTTTCTCGGCACGGAAATCTGGATGAAGCTTTATTGCTTATTCTCACAATGCCATTTGAGCCCGACTCACAGATATTGGGATCACTTCTTGCTGCTTGTAGAAAACACCATGAGGTTAAACTTGGGGAATTTTTATTCAGATACTTAAACGAGTTGGAACCAGATAATTTGGGAAACTTTGTTGCTCTTTCAAATACATATGCAGCTTCTGGAAGATGGGATGAGGTATCAAGATTGAGGATTTTGATGAAAAAGAAGGGCCTGAAGAAGAATCCTGGGTGTAGTTGGATTCAAGTTGGAGGAGAACTTCATGTGTTTGTCGCTGGCGATACGTCACACCCAGGTATTGGGGAAATTCATACCACATTGGCTTTACTGGGACAGGAAATGTGATTAATGGGATATATTCCAGTAGTTAAGAGTGGTGATATTTTCTTCTAGTGACCACAAGATTTTGTTGGTAAATTGAAGCAAAGCTGCTTGAAGATCTTCTATAGATGGGCCAGCTATGGTGTAGGATATAATCATACACGATGAGATATATATTCCTATGCTGAAGAAATGACACTCTTGCAACTGTAGCCAATTTTCATGCTTTCTATGAAATGGATAAGAGCAATTTTTTTTCATAAATGTAAGATTATGTTAGTAGGTGCAGAGGCTCGAGCCTGGGCACTCCAAATTCCACAGGAGGCTCTTATCCAACTGGGCTGCGAGGCATCTGCGGATAAGAGCAATTTGTTTTGGGGATCAGCGATTTGACACATGACAAGTTTGAAAGATGGAGGTTGAAGATTTGGAGGACACAGAGAATGGTGTCAAGAAATAATTCATTAGATGATTCCTTTTTGGGCTGAAGTTGTACCTGCCAATCTGGTGACAACAACAGCAAGAAGGTTGCTCTGTGGATGGCCTTTACTGGAGCAGGAAGAGAGGAGAGGCCATGTATGAATAGATTATTCAACCAGGAGAAGGGGATGGACGACCAATAATTGATGATCATTACATTGTCTACAACAAGGGTCTGGTTACAGAGCCTACCTTTTCTACTCTGTGGTCTGTGCATGCCAAAGAATAGCAATGACATTGATATGTATGGAGGTGCAGATGAGCAGCTGGAAAATATTTTGAAGATTGATCACTTGAACCTGTAAGGCATTTGCAAGTACCTCAGAGAAGACTGGCCCAAGTTATAGGAATGTTGAATTCAAGAAAGTGCCAAAGAAGCTGATCCATTTGATTTGTACCCATTCTTGATGGAGGTGAAAAAGGGAAAGGCATTGATATAGTTGGCAGATGAGAGACCTGCCTGGTCATCCTTGGAAGATGATGATGAAGGATAGAACTTGCATTGCCTTTGAAAGGTGGCACTGAAAGCTCTTTAATCTTTATCAGGTTCTTCTTCGGAGTCATACTTTGGGGCCCTCACTTTTTCTATGCTTATGTTGCTAAATTTATACTTGCTTAGTTCGCCATTGAGGAAGCCAAACAATAAGTTGTGTGTTGGGAAAATAATTGTACTTCTGTTTGGTAAATGGATGATTCATTATTTTTTCAAAATTAATGCAATAACTGATAACTTTGTTTAATTATACAGTAAAAGTTGTCTCCTTTGTAGTATGATTACTGTTTTAAATTATCTAATTCTTTTTTAAAATGGTGGCTTGAGTGAGATCATCCTGAATCTGCTTGTTTATTTGCTTTATCTTTTGCAGGTCACCTCTGGTTTTATTTTTGTTCAGATTATATTACTTTCTGCTTTCAGGAAACTGCACATTCTCTAGATTATGGTTGTCATTCCTTACGTAAGTTGTCATTCATCCTTCATTGTTAGACAGGTGACAGTGACTTTAGTTTAAGTGGATGAGTTCTCTTAATAAACATAAAGCCTACAATGGGATGTAAGATGCATATAAAACTGATGTATTCTATACTGATATTAATTTTTACTGTTTCTAATGTTAAATCCATGTCAGTTGTCTGAGATTGACTATGATGCCAAAAAAAAATCACTTTATCAGGTCTTCAACTGTTAAAGCTTTGGCATTGCTCTTTGACAGTGAGCTACGATCAAGACTTCTCAGTTTTAATTGAACTTGTGATATAACACAAAAACATGACAGAATTGTATTGATTTTGATACACAAGTCATGTTTTAGTGACATATGTTGTAGACATTTGTGAATTACTGCTCTTCAGTTGTTTACTTTCTTGTTATTTGGTTTTTTTTCCGCATGCATATGAGAGAAACGCAAGGTTGAAACACTTGCTCGAGTTTTGAATACCATGAACAAATGACATTCAGTCTCCACTTATTGCAGTCTATTTTCCCCTAGCATTCTCAGCTCGGTTTCTCTTACCTTGGGAGTTCAACCCTGAGATGAGAGAGTTTTGTGGCTCCATTGGTACTGTTGTTATTTTTTTAGTAAATCTAAAATTTATCCCAGAACTATTGGGTGCAGATTTTTTTGAGGAGATAATGGGACTGATCGAGCTGCCTGACACCACTAAGAGATGCATTGCTTGGATTTGCCGATTTGGCTGGACTCTCTATTGAGCAGCACAAAAGTTTGGCCATTGCAGTTGCGCTTGTTGCAGATCCCTCGGTAATATTTATGGTTGATGCTGGAGCAACTCATAACTGTGAGTATGCAATGGGCACAAGATGACCTGTGGCATGCACAACTCACCAGGCAAGTTTCATTTGAAGCTTTCCACTAGAAAGATTGTAGAATTTAAATAACTAGTTATTCTTTTGCAAAGAGTAGAGCGGTTGACCTCTATACTACTTGATATTCGCAGAATTAACATAAACATACTTGCTTCCTGTTATAGAACCCAATATGTGAGCAAAATCGGGATACAAGTCAATTCCATCTCTTTACCAAAAGAAGCAGGTAGCCAAAACCAGTACTGAAAAAACAACAATAATAATTAAGGTTTGGTCATATTAGTTCTATATGTTGGCTTTGTTCAAAGTGTTGGACCTCTACTTATTGTCATTGGGGGTATGTCTTCAATATTTTCTCTTGAGGATAGTACCAAGTTTGAATCAAAAGAAGGAGATCGTTTAATATCATAACAGCAAGAAAATGCTTTACAAGCTTTTAATACAAAATTATCCAGTTGTTTAACATCACAACAGCAAGAAAACGCTTTTCAAGCTTTTAATAAAAAATAATCCTGAATTATGTGACAGTGGCACCTTTGAAATTAAATAGCACCTTGGTCCTCTGTTACAAAATGATACAATTCAAATGTGTCACATCACAGATTCTGTTTGGCATTACTCATCTCAATATCATTCCTATGAATTGGATCACTTGGTGAACCATCTCTAGCTTTTACTAAAATTCATCAAAAAAATCACAATAATCAGAAGAATAACTATTATAGCTTTCTGTGATCTTATGAATTTTTTATGCAGTGTAAAGGAATTGTTCGACATTTAGTATACTACTGCGGCCTGACTTCTTGTAAAGAATTATCATATAAGGATACTTAAAAGGCATGTTATCAGTGGCAGGTTGGCAGCAGAAAATTTTATCGACAAGGTTGGCTGTTTTTCACAAAGTTATGTTGGACAGTGTGTGGAAGAATGTATTGTCCTCAGCTTCATTTTGTGACCACCACCACATTATGCAGTTTGTTGCAAGTGCAAGCAAAAAAAAACTCGCCGTCACATTTCAAAGGAAGAGAATATGTTACAGAAATCATATCATTTTTACAGCATATCCCCATCAGATGACCTGGAAAGTGGTAAGTCCGTAAGAAAAGGTATGGATGTTTTCATTTAACCATATATGCATATAATATGGCTCAAATGTTAATGATATGCTTGAATTGAGGGATCTCAGTGCACAGTTTTTAGGTTTACATCCCTTTTATTTCCAACTATGCTTATTCATTTGCCTTTGATATATTCTCTATCCTCATTTAATCAAATTTGGAGTCACTTTGGTTGTTGAGATTTTAATGCAATCCTATGGTCTATAAAGTAAGGTTAGTGAGGACTAGTTAAGGTTTCTTGTGAAAGGTGTTCTTTGTCTTTACTGATCCAACTAACACCAAAGATAGGTTTGGGATAAAAATTCAATGCTAAATATAATTTTAAAACTGAAAATTCTTATTATTAGGTGTATAGAATCAATCAATTCATATTTTAGTTGTTTGTGATTGATTTTCAGGGTGTTGCAACAAGTCATTAGAACTGGGAAGATTACAACCATGGTTATATATTCAAATCCAATTGAGAAGGAAAGAAAACCACTTGTCTTAAGCTCTACTCCAAGGTTAGTTATTAGTTCTATATTTAGTCAACTCACTTCTCATATTTATTTCTCTGTGTGGTGGATGATCACCAAATGAATTTAGAAAATGCAGTCAGTTGTAGTAGTTCACTTAACAGTTACCGAAGGGACACTCAGTTGTCAAGTTGTTGTCAAACTATGACTTGAATTAAATAATATATATATTAATCAACCATAAATTCCCATAAAATGGGTGGATGATTATTTAAAATCAAATTACATAAGGAAAGATAGAGATGTGATGAGAGAGAAAACACAGTTATCATGCTGATGCTGTTGATGCATGTGTTCTGCAAAGTAAAAAAACTGATGAAAGAACTTAACTCTAGGGGGTAAATTTTAGGTAAATTGCTCTTGGAGATAGTATTAGGTGACCAATATAAGGAAATCTCTAAGCTGTGTTAATCATATATACCTTAGGTAAAGTTATAGTTGAATTGTACATGAAAACTATATTTTTTTAAAGAAAATACAGAATATCGTGCCAGAAAAGAGAGAGCGGTATTTGGCAAAATAATAATAATAATAATGAAAGAGTGCCGACAGTGAGTTTCTGCCTTTGTTCATTGAATTCACTAAATGACTCGTGCCCTTATCCATCAAACAAATTCACCATCATTATTTAGAATATCCAATAAATGAGAATCCGAGCTAATTGTAAGACACCTGTCTTAGTTATTTGGCAAATAGCCAAATAGGCATCCATATTTTCCATGGCCCACAAAATGATTGTGAGCTGCCAATACGGTTGGGTGCCCTCTCAAACATTGAGCTTCTTTTCTTTTCTTTTTTTTTTATTTCAGTGACCCTAATCATTTTCAGGATTTTCCTTTTCTACAGTGTTTCCACTGTTCCATGTCTCCATTATAACAAATGGGGTTCTCATGTTCTATTCCTCTTACACCAACAGGCTTGACATGAATGGCAGGGCATACAGTGGGCCACAATTGTGACATATATATAGCAACTATTTGGATGATATATATATGATGGAAACCATTGTCCATTACTCGTTATTTTGAGTGATTTAATAAGTTTCATGCAATGTATTATTTATTAATATATTTTATTTTTCCTTTGGTCAATTGTTAAATTGAACTCGTTTTGAAGTTTCTAATCTGAGTCATTTTGTTTATGAAGGACATTATATTAGTATATCTAAAGCTTAGATATCAAAAATTCCTCCCAGAAGAGGCTTTGTTGCATTGAATACCATCTTGATTAAGTGGTTCTTGATTGATCTAATGAAGGGCTATGATTAAGTAGATCGCAAGGGGCTAATCTAGGGTTAACAAATCCGAAGGAAAAAACGCACGAGAGTCAATTTGAGACCGACCAAAAGTATTGCTAGTGTCCTCTTTCGGTGCACCAAACCACAGAAAACTATGCCTTTTTCCAAGAAAGCATGTGCCTGGATGGCCACCCCAAGGAAACTTGGCACTGGTTTGATTAAAGGAGTGGATTCTCCCACATTGAGCCCATGTGGTCTTTTATGATTGGGTTGTTTGCTTCACTTATTTCCACAAGTGGAGAGACAACTGCCTTAATAAATAGTGATGGCTATTATAAAAATCACTATAGTATTTTGTTGGGGGCCATTTTGAAAGATGGGTGTAATTAATTTCATAAATTTTGTATTTTTAATTTTTACTGAACCGTTTTTTTGTTGTTTTTCTGGTCAAACTGACATGGTAGTTGTAAATCCACAATGAAATCATCTAACAAACCAGCAATGACAGCTGTGGTGATTCTGACACAAATCAACAAGAACACTTAATTACATCAATCAATATGGCTTTGATAAGGTGTCATCTTCAATTTAATCCCCAATTAACTTCATCCTTCAATTTTGCCAGCACTACTTAAAACGTTTCAATGTAACTGTATTACTTTAGTGTGACAGTTATATATATATATATAATTATATATCTATCTATCATAGTGTCATTAGAGCAGTAACTAGTAAGTGGCAAGTCAAATTGAAATGGGAAGAAATAGGAGGAGGAGGAGGAGGTTGGATATGGAACAGTGAGTCAAACACTGTCCGTCCTTTATTTGTGTCAGAAAGAAAGAAAGAAAGAAAAGACTCAGACAGAGCTCGGCCAGCCTGTTCCCCATCTCTCCCTCCCTTTCTCTCTCTATTATCCATTAACGGACAAAATTCCTTTGCAGTTATCTGTCAATTCCCAAACCTGCCCTCCATGTGGGTCCTCGCCACGTGGCACTCCATATTCACACATTAGTATTCAGTATTCTCCCCACGCAACAAATAAATAATCAAACAGTACACTGCATCATAGCCACTCATTCTGAAGTAGTGAAGACGAATAAATCACATACACATGCATCATAGCCACTCATTCTGAAGTAGTGAACACGGTAGATGTATATTATGGGTAGGGTTGCAAAGTTACTCGTAATCTGTACATATTCTGGTGCAGAATCGATTCATTTACCATCCTAATTTTGTAAGTTCGAATTCAATTCACGTGGATTCATTTATAGATATAACCTTAAGTTCGAATTCAGTTCACCTAGATTCATTTTTAGATATAGCCCTAAGTTCATAAGCTCGATCTCAACTTAACTCTGTTCATTTATAATCATGCGGATCAAAATGGAAAGAGTTACAATAACTAGAATTAAAGAAAGAAGCATAGCCCTAGTGTAAAGAGTAATTTATTCTGAAACATAAAATATGAGAAAAGAATAAAATAAAAACATGTTCATTCTCAATTACTTCATGAAACTCTAACCCGAAAACAATGCGGGTTTGGATCTTGTCGGATAAAACATGTCGTCCAAGCATTTCTATAACTATACATTTCTTCATCCAATAAAATACTTGATCGACACATTTTACAGCAATACTGTATCCTTACCCAAACAATTCAAACCCCTTTTTCTCCTAAAAATCATTTTACAATTAAGAAAGAAAAACAAAAAAAAAAAACAAAATAAATGTGAAGTAAACAAAAGAAAACACCCCATACACTGCGCATTCTGAGGATGACTTGTCACTTTCTTCTTCATTTTTCAGCTTCCAAACACTGTCTAAGGTGTGATTGCACGAGGTGGGGTCCTTGACTCCTGGGGAGGAGTATGGCCGTCCGATCCCTTTGAAGGGTCATCAGACGACTGTCGTAGCCCATCATCGGTCTCCCCTCTATTGATGTCCTCAATCATGCGTACCACTTCCTGCATGGGGGGTCTCTGATCCGGTACGGTCGATACACATGTCATTGCTATTTGCAACAACTGTACCATCTCTTCTTCAATGTTGTGATACCTCATCAGCTCCACATCAAAAACCTCAGCCGTCCATTCCTCACGGACCACGGATTGGACCCACCTCGGTAAATCAATGCCTTCGTCACCCAATGACGCCTGATTGGGCGACTTTCCGGTCAATAACTCCAGCAACAAAACACCAAAACTGTACACGTCCGACTTGAAGGTGACCTTGCGGGTTTCCACTACCTCCGGTGCACGATATCCAGCCACACGATTGGGTGGGGTGGACGAGCCAAAGAGTGGGTTGAGACCGTAGTCGGAGAAGCAGGCGATGTTGTCTTGGCCAAGGAGGATATTGGAGGATTTGATGTTGCCGTGGACTACATTTCCCGGCACGTGTAGGTAAGCTAAGCCCCTAGCGGCGCTCATCGCTATTTTCATCCGGTTGTCCCAGTCCAGTGGAGTTCGGCCTGAGCCTCTGCTACCTGCAATTGTTCACCGGTGACCAGTAATATACTCAAAGCGGAAGCAATGGCCCAACAATTGTTTTATGGTATGTTTTAGAAAGTTAAGAAACAATTTTATTTCAATGAAAATTTATCAAAAAAACATATTGTTGTTGTTGCTGTACGGATGCAGTGTTAAGACATTTTATATGAATTTGTTTTAGTTTTAATGAATTTATCTTTTTAACAAACACAATTTAATTTATATTCAGTAACATGTAAATATGTAATTTGTGTCTCAAAAAAAAAAAAAAAAAAGTTAAAGTATCAATTCTAATTCATGCTACCCAACATGGCATATAAAACTTCATTTGAGGTTGATACAATTGTGACCAAATCTTTTACTGTTAAAATTATAATTTTCTTTAACACCAAATGCAATTTAAAAGATGGGAAGATATTATTAATACAAGAAGTGCAAAACTCACGAAACCACGGAACTAAACCGACACATAATAGATTTAGAAAGTAATTTCAAAATAATTGTTTTGGAAATAGACTGTAATGAAACTACTGTATTCGTATTTCAAAAATATCAAATGATTTCTGCATTCCACTACCACAATATTACCATTTTCTAGAAAAGATTATAAAATAATAATAATAATAATAACTCCAAAATAGAAGTAGCGCAGTCTGTCTTTTTGCAAATGCAATAGTTGGTGGTTGGTTAAAAGCATAGAATTGTACAAATAATTGCAGGGGTAAATGAGGAAACAAAACATTGTTGGTATATAAAATTGAGGTTGAGGACTGATAAAGAATAATATAATAGTCTATATATTTTAGCTTTGAAATGAAGAAATTCATTCATCATCATTTAAAGGGCAAAAAGCATGTCGGTAGGGAATCATGGTGGTCTGTTGCCAATGTTGTTATTAATTACCCTAAAATAATACAGTAGGTAATATAAATTGACACCAAACTCCACGCGCCAGGGTGCGCATTTCGCAGTGTTAACACACACAGCTTGAATAATATGCAAATTTTACACTCTTTTTGTAACACACGGTCTTGTTTATGATGCAGAAACATACTGTTTTGTTAAATGCAGAATACCCCATAAATATAATACTATGCTTTTAGTAACATTGAAGATACAATTCAACACACACATATATAATTAATATGCATTAAACAAATAATTAAATATTAGTAAAAAATTTAAAACAACAAAATTCACACAATTTTTAGTTTTTACAGGCAATTAGTTCAGCAAGGAATTAAGGTATTTAGCAAAGACTGGTAATGGTAATGTTGGCAAAGCAACAATGCCTGCTTCGAACTGTAACAGCCTGAGCTTCATTATGGCGAAAATTCAGAAACAAAATCCTAAAATGGACCAACATAACATAGATATAACATACATTTTGATATAGATATAGATACAGATATAGATAGAGAGACAGAGAGAGAGAGAGAGTCATGGTACCATGAAGAAGAGCAGATAAGCTACCAGCGGGCATGAAATCAGAGACAAGCAATTTCTCATCTTTAGAATAATAGAAGGCTCTAAGAGGAACCACATTTTCATGCTTTACCCTCCCCAAGGCCTCCATTTGCATTTCAAAGTCTCTCCTACTCACAACCACATCCTTGAGTCTCTTCACCACCACCGTCGTCCCCTCCTCCAGCACCGCCTTGTACGACGTCCCCACGCTCCCTTTCCCCAACACCTCCGCAGAAGCCCTCAATAAGTCCTCCAAATCGAAACTGTATATTCCCGAGTCCAGAAACACTAACTTGTTCCTCTCCGCTTCCGCCGACCCGCCCGTCACGTCCTCCTTCGACGACGACGTTCCCGCCTCCGCCACTGCTACAGTGGTCCGTGCAGTTGTCTCCGGCGGCTTCTGGGGTTTCGCCGTCTGTCGTTGCCGCCGCCGCCGCAGACAGAGGATGAGAATCAGGAACAGAAAGAGGAGAAGCAGCGCCCCACCGACGCAAATTGCTACAATCGCCGCCGTTGAGAGCTTTTTGGACTTTTTGCCAGATGGGTTTTGCGGTGGCGCAATTAAAGATGGCGATGGGGCGGGTGAGGGAAAGAATGGGGTGCACGGCGGCAACGGTGCGCCGCATATATCGATGTTGCCGGCGAATGCTGACGCAGGGAATTTCGATAGGGTCGCAGGGATTGAACCATTGAGATGATTGTTGGAAACATTGAAGTCAATTAAGCTCTCTTGGTTGATGCTTGGGAGCTTACCTGAAAACCCATTGTTTTCCAAGAAAAGTCCGGTCAGGTGGGTCAGATTGTTGACGGCGAATGGAATTGTGCCGGTGAAGTTGTTGCTGGAGAGATCTAAACGGGTCATCCGAGGCATCTCGGTAAAACTAGATGGGAACTCGCCGGAGAACTGGTTGTTCTGGAGGTAGACGCTCCGGAGAAGCTTTAGATTGGAAAAATCGGAGGGAATCTGACCTGAGAGGCGGTTGGCACGAAGGCTGAGGACTCGGAGCTGAGTCAATTTACCGATTGTGTTGGCCGGAATTTGACCCACAAGGCCGACACCGGGAAGTCGGAGAGAGTAGACAGAGGTGCGATTGGCGTCGCATTCGACGCCGACCCAGTTGCAAGCCGAGTCGGAGGGGTTCCATTGGAGGCGATTCTCGTGAGGGGTCTGGGAGAGGAAAGCAAGGAGGGCTTGCTTGTCCTGAGTCGGCTCCGAGTTGACTCGGAGACTCAGTAGCAACAGAAGTGAAACAAAGAACAAAACATAAACAACCATCCCTGATTTTGAAAACACTGCCATTGATGTGTTTTGCACCCAAAAGTTATCGAAGGATAGTTTGTTTTTATTTGTGCGCTTCAAAAGGTGGTTTGTGGTTGCGATTTTGGATGGATCTAATAGTGGTTTTCCGGTGAGAAGCCATGAGAGAGAGTGTGTGTGTTGGAGGAAGTTAGGGAGTGAGGAGAGTGGTTTTGTAAGAGTATAACGAGAGCATAAAAGCTGAAAATACAGAAGCGATTTTGCTGGCAGTGGTACAAACGTTTTTTCGTTTTAAATATAGCAATAATTAAACAAACAACTGTTTTCATGCAATTTCAAACGCACTCAAAGCGCGTGCAATTAGTTGCTAAATGGAGTATCATATGGGGCCAAAAAAACATAAAAAATCACTTATTTTTTATTTTTATTTTTTTTGCAACTGATCCCCCGTTCTTTTAGTTTGACAATAAATCTTATCTAAAAATTTGCTATCACCCCTGCAATTTGCTTAATGTTAAAAAAACGTTACATATATTTCATTCACGGATGCACACGACTCGGTTTAGACCGATTTTAAATTTTTTTTAAATCAAATCAATTCTAACAATTTTATAAAATTTCGAACCAAACCAAACTATTTTTGATCAAAGAAACCAAACTAAACCAAATCGTAAAAAATTGATTTGGTTTCAAAATTTTGGCATACCAACTGTCCCCATTGAACTTTTAATGTTTATAGAAAAGATTTTTCTATTTGTATAATTACTCTCTCTAAAATTTGACATTGCACATATATACTATATATATATATACCCCACCGAACTTTTAATTTTTATAGGTGTATAATTGCCCTTTCTAAAATTTGACATTGCGCGCGCGCGCACACACATATATATAAAACCAAAAGCCCATTCACGGTTTTACACACAAAAAAAAATATATGTATATATATATATAATCATGACACAATTGTAAGTATATATAAATATCTACCAATTTATCACTTTCCCATAAAATATGATATTTTTTTCCACTTTCTCAAAATATTATATTCTTTCTCACTTTCCTAAAATAAAAAAAATAAAAATAAAAAAAACATTTCATCTAAATATTCTTTCACACTTTTGACTTTACCACTAACAAATGTATTGTTTCCATCACATTTTCAGTCTTTAACATTTCACAAATTAATAATCCAAACAAAGCAAGTGAAGCAATCATTTACTAGTAAATAGAGACTCAGTCAATTTTACTGCAGTGCGACAAATATATTTTTTTTATTATCTAAATTTACGATTAATATTATTTGATATTATAATTTTAATTAGAAAAATTATTAGTTATTACTATCAAAATTCTTTCAAAATTTAGTTTGTGTAATTGTGTTACTAATTATTATTCTCTAAATAAGACTTAAATTTTTTTTATTTGCAGCCCAAATCAATGAAATCATATATTCACTTACTTTATCAATTTTTTTTATTGATTGGATGGTGTAGTCAGAAATTTCCTTCTGTGGGGGCAATCTTTAATTAATATACTAAAAAAAATCATATACAATGAATCAAGAATAAGATATGAAAAAAAAACATTTTTAATAAAAATTCTTAATAAATACTATGTCAGACTGTCAATTTTCTCATAATAAAAATTCATTCATATTAAAAATAAAAAAGAAAGATATGAAAAATAAAATATGAAAATAACTAACGTTATAAGTTATAACTAGTATATACAACCATAAACCAAGTTACCAAAATATTCAGAAATATTAATATATTTAGAATTTTTAATTCATTTTTCTTCATTACTTCTGGAATTGAAGTGAATAAATTCAGAATTGCTAATAACCTAATACATTTAGAATTACTAATTCAATAACAAACAATCAGCCACAATTCAAAATTCAGCCATTATAAAAAAAATAAAAAATAAAAAAGAATCATCTAATAAATTGATAAGACCTAAAATCTATCTTAATATTTAATTTGTATAATTAAATAGAGAATTTGACCCACTCCACCACATGGTATGATATTGTCCGCTTTGGGCCTGAGCCCGCGCGGTTTTGCTCTTAAACTTTACCCCAAAAAGATCTTATACTAATTGGAGGTGACACACCTATATATAAGCATTTCACACTTCCTCTACCGAGGCGATGTGGGACTGTGCACCCGTAGCTCGCCAGTGTGGTAGCATGACAGTGTCTCTTACACCCGCCCACAGGGTCATCATAATCTACCCCCTTGGAGGTCCGACGTCCCCGTCGGCACACTTCCAGCTGGGTCAAATTCTGATACCATTTGTAACGACCCACTCCACCACATGATATGATATTGTCCGCTTTGAACCTGAGCCCGCACGGTTTTGCTCTTGAACTTTTACCCAAAAATACCTCATACCAATTATACTATATATACTGTATAATTTAACATATATATAACATAGCGGTTCGATTTGGTCTAGTTCAGTCCTAAAGGACCTCAAATCGTGACCAAATCGTATATTTACGGTTTCAAAATTTTAGAACCATAACCGAACCGAACCATTAGCAAACAAACCAAATTGTCCGGTCTGGTTTGATTCAGTTTGGATTTTCGGTTTGATATAATTTTTATGCACCCCTAAACTTTCACCTGACAATTGACAAATTATAATATTGGCAAAATATATAAAACCCCCCATCGACTTGTAGCATTTTTCAGTAAACCCCCTTGTCTAATTTTTTTACCAAAAGAACCTCTCTCGACTTATAACCCTTTCCAATAAATCCCCTGGTCCAATTTTTTACCAAAGAACCCCCCTCAACTATCTAAGGGGGGTAAAAGAGTTGATATTTAGACCAAAATGACCTTTTATTTAAATCTTATTTTTTCGAAATTCAAAAATTTATATCTCACAAACCGTACATATCTAAATATTGCAAATAATATATGCACGAAAAGCTTATAAAACAAGAATTCCAGAAAATATAAGATTTATTTTTTAAAAAAAATTCATAACCAAAGAGAAATAGAAAATCTAAAAATTTACTGCAATAATCTTATTTTATTTTTTATAAAATACTTGGGTTATTTGTAAGAAAATTTTCAGAATTATTCATTTATATGGAACATAACATATAAAAAAAATTAGCCCCAATAGAGACCGAATATTTATTTTTATTTATTTTTAAATAGTGAGTCTTAAAAGAATGAAAATACTTTGACGCAAAATATGATATCTCATGAAATCGGTCTCCGTTAGGGCTAAACTTTTTATATATTCAACTCCATATGTAAATGAATAATTCTGAAATTTTTCTTACAAATATCTCGAGTAGATTTTCTTAAAAATAAAATAAGATTGTTGGAGTAGATTTTTAGATTGCCTATTTCTTTCTAATTATGAAAGTTTGTTGTACAAATCTTATATTTCTGGAATCCTTATTTTATAATTTTTTCGTGTATATATTATTTATAATTTTTAAATATACGGTTTGTGATATATGAATTTTTGAAGTTTGGGAGAATTAAGATTTAAATAAAAAATTATTTTGGTCCAAATATCAAATCTTTTACCCCATTTAGATAGTTGAGGAAGATTCTTTGATAAAAAATAAGACAAGGGGAATTTATTAGAAAAATAATACAAATCGTAGGGAGTTTTTTAGTAAAAAAAATAGATAAAGAGGATTTATTGAAATAAATTATAATTCGAGAGAGGTTTTCTATACTTTGCCCTTATAATATTAGAATTGCAATCGACCACGTCCATTTTTGAGGAATATAAGTTTTTTTTTTTTAAAAGTAATTAAGTGTTTCATTAACTCGGGAGTTTTGCTACATTTTTCAAATTTCAAAATTACTTTTTACAATTAAAAAACTACATAGTTGTTAATTGGGAAAAAAAAAAAAAAAAAAAAAATCAAAACATAATAATAATTTAAGAAAAAATAATCATTTCGTTCGGACGGTGAACGTGTACTAATGGACAATCTGTCTCATCTTGGAAGATAGAGCAATCAAAAAGGGTATAGAAAGTGAATCGGGGTAAAGTACACGCTTTTCAATGGCGCGTGAATGTTGTTAAAATATGCATTTCTGAGTAGAAAAGTAGAAACGGCTACGTATTGATGGGAGGCTCCAAGCTGTATAACAAAATGAAATAAAGTTAGTTTTTTTTATTTGTGAGCTTCAAAAGTATGGGCCAAAAAAAAAAAAAAAAACTTTATTACATTTTCTTTTTGAGAGGGATGCCAATAATTTCATCAGTCCCTCCAATTATTCAAAAATCTATTTTGATATCTTACTGGTTCATGGCCATGTAATCTTCCATTAGAGAGACTGTAACTAAATAATTTTGAGCAAAGATTATTTATAATCATGTATGCAAATTTCATATGATTTTTATATGTGGAATAATTCTAATTCTAAGACCTTGATTCCATATTTTATTTCACAAATTTCCTACAAGCATTTCAATTAATTCAAATTTTCTTGTACATAAATATAAATATTTAGATATACTTGTCCATTTGTCGAAAGCATGTTAAAATCGAGATGTGTGAGCCATTTGGATAAAACAATTATGTAATTTATTATTTTAATTTTGTTCTTTTTAAAAATTATTACAAGGTGTAGTGTTAAAAAGTGTGGTTACATATGGCATCATTATAGATTTTGTTGTCCAAGACAGAGATTCATGGCTGGCAAATAGAGCTGGAAGGTACAAAGATTTTTAATTTGTTATTAAGTGAGATTGAATAGTTTATATATGTATTTTCTTCATCTTTTTTATTTTTCTGTTCATTATTTTAATTATTTTTTGCATCATTTTGTGCAATTAAACAAATTGTGTGTTATTCTTAATTGTTGGTGGGTAGGATCACTTTGATCTTACTCTCCTTTTTGTCCTTTTGTCTCTAAAGTGTAAGCTTTTAATGTCATTTAGCTATTCTACTTATAAATTGGTACAATTTGATATTGATTATTTACTACGCTATAAAGCCATCCTAACAAACTGACAAAGTGTTGGTATAATAATTCAATGAAGGAATAGGGTTTTGGATGAATTCTTATGGTTAGCACCAAAAGAAAAGGGGAAAGAAAATTTTAAAAAATAAAAATAAAAGTTTGTAAGGTACAGTTTTTAATCATATATTTTTTTCCAACTAATGGCTTTATTTTAGCTCAATGTAACTAGAAAAGGGGTGAATTAATGGTAATTACCTGTAAAATATAGCTAGATAAAATTCAATTCTTTTGTAGTTGTAATTA